TAAATGAAATTAAATATTTTTCGTGTTTATTTTAAATATGTGTATATTATTTGTTGTATGTCCCTCGAATTCCCAACTGGCTCACGCTGCTGCAGCCTTGAACACACAGTTAAATTATCTTTGCGCAGGGGCATAATCACAACCAATTCAGTTCTACTCATGTTGCGATTATTTCTAGTTAAAAACTTTGACCAATTCACAGTGTGAATTTTACATCATGAGGACTTTAAATGTAGTCCGCTTAGGCTAAATAATAACCAATTAGCTCAAAAATACTCAATATAAATATGAAACATTTAATATTTAATCATGCAATATTTTTAAATTAAATATGAAACATATTAGATTTAGATGAAAATCAATGGCAGAAATATTAAAATCTAAGTGAAAATATTAAAATTTCAGGGCTTTTTTCTATCGGTGCGCCTGTTCGCTTAATACCAGCAGCGCTCACGAATAGCAGCTTAGGGGGCAATGGAAAAGGGAAGATCAGCCGAAATTCTAGCAGGCAGAGCTAGTGCTTATCGGATGGCTAGCTAGTACCTGTGAACCGGGCAGTGGGACAGCTGCGTCGACGACCCTTCGCTATTGGGAACGAGGGAATCGCGAGAGATCCCCTTGTGGATCCGGGCAGCGAATCACCAGAGCATATCAGATGCCAAAAAAAATGTGTTATTAGTTCGTGTATTTATACCCGTACTCAAAAAAGAGTTAAGGGGTATGTTGAGCTACTGAGCTTCTTCAGTAGCGTTGTTTTGCAAGATTATTTAAGAGACGATGATTGTTCAGTTAATATATTCACAATTTATTTTACTTAAGTTAATGTATATGTATTATCCGAAACTAGCGAAAGGTGTGCGAATTTAATGACGAGAGTTAATGATGGGTCGATTGAAGACGGGGGGGCCGGTTCAAGACTGTTGAAGTTGATATGTTTATGTTAGGGTTAGTTTAGAACTCTGTGGCAGGCAGGTCACTGTGCCAGACAGCCAAACGTTTTACTACGGTGATGATCGAATTTGAAGTGTGTTCTGCTTTTCCTGATGAGCCTCCCCCACAGCGGCTGACTAACGCCGAGAAAGAGCAACGCACCAGCAAGAGCATAAGTGCAAGCAAACAAACGGTTATAAAGAGAGACATTAGATTAAGAGATGATCAACTACTCTTTGTGCTGCCATGGGCCGGCGCTTAGCCGAACATACTCCCCCCGTTGAAGAGCACGGGTCTTTAACATCCTTCTTTGGCAGCCACATTTCCTTTGTTGATCCAGGTGACGTCTTTAGTATAGCCACTCCGGAAACCATGCCTGACTCGACGAAGAGGTCCAATACTCGTGCGAGGGGGCACTTTAGACTGGTTAACTGAAAATAACACAGGAGAACGTGGATCTGATGCGCGAGACTGAGACACCTCTCCTGCAATTATCCATCCTAGCCTGGTTTCCTGAAGACGTGGCAGACCAGCTCCCAATTGGATTTGGCCAATGCAGAGAAGCTCAAAGAACAGTCCCGCTCCAATAAGAATGTCCACAGGTTGAGACTTGTAGAACTTGGGATCCGCTAACTGTGTGTTGCAGGGAATGTTCCAGCTGTTTAGGTCGATATTGCAGTTAGGTTGACTGGACGTAATGGTGGGAGCAACTACTGCCGAAATGGTCGTGGCATAACTTGATGTGCGTGATTCCAGGTTGATATCTACGCAGCATCCTTCCGATGTGGCACGCGACTCGCCGAGACCAGACACCAAAACATCCGACACTTTCCTTTGAAGCTGCAACTGCTGAGCCAGGCGAGAAGTAATGAGATGCACCTGCGATCCAGAATCAAGCAAGGCACGGCATGGAATAAGTGTACCAGAGCGATTCCTTACGCTGATTATGGCAGTGGCAAGAAGAACGATGTCCTGCCTGTGACTCTGGGCCAAAAGCGATGTGGCTGACGCTGTTGCAGTATGTACAACGCCAGAGGGTCCCGCGGGCAATTGCGGAGCTGATGTAGAATGTGACAGTGATGGCAGAATGGATTGAGAACCGAAAGACGGGGACTCGAAGTGAAGTAGAGTGTGATGTCTGGCACCACATATTCGGCAGGATCGAGAATGACATGCACCCTGCGTGTGGCCTGCTCGGAGACAGTTGGTGCACAGTGACAGCTTCTTAGTTTCCTGAAGCCGAAGTTGAGCGGAAAGATTCCCAAATTGTGAACACGCATAAATGGAGTGTCCTGGATCACCGCAGAATGTACAGACCTTGGAGCTGGTTGCGATTAGACAGTGTTTCCGACTGCTCTGGGTGTACATATCATTTGCGTGCTCTTGGGTTTCCAACCTCTGGCATCTCTGCTCCAGAAACGTGGCGAATTGCTGGCTGGAGGGTATGCTATCCAACGACGAGCATTCCTCCCACTTGGTTTGTGTGGCGCTGTCCACCTTCTGTAGTAGGCTGTGTATTAGGATGCAGTCAGCAATCTGCTCCTTTGTCCCCATACTTTGTAACGCTCGCAGATTGGCATTAACTGTATCCGAAAGGGACCGTAGTTGGGAAACAGATGAGGCCTCGACACGCTGCAAGCTCAGAATGTCTGTGACATGTGCCTGAAAGATGAGACGCTTGTTATTAAATCGTTTGCTGAGTAAATCTAGAGCAATAGGATAGCTGGCGTGGCTAAATTCCAGCGACGAGATCGTGTCCAGCGCTGGTCCCTTTAGGCATGATCGTAAATGCTGCAGCTTCTCGACATTCGTAAGGTCAGGGTCCTTATCTATAATGGAGGAGAACATGCCCCAAAACGAGGAATACTGAGCGTAGCCCCCACCGAACTCAGGAAGCTTCAACTCCGGCAGGCGTGGCCGACTTTGCACGACGACCGTAGTTGGGGCCTCTCCTACATGGTCCGCCCGCATTGTTGAACATGGTAGCATTGTGGGCTGCCGCTTGTTTAACTCTCGCTTCATGCGAATCTCCAGCATGACCACGCACTCGTCAAACTCATCCCTCAAGGGACTACCGATCTCATCGAGATCAATCTTCTCCAGGGCATTATGGTGCTCGTTGAATGAAGCTACAAGATCCGCTAGCAGCTTCAGCCTCACGTTCAGCTCCTCCTCACTGAGCTCGCCAATCCTCTCCTTGCCGACGGCCGTTTCGATTCTCCGTGCCGCCCCTAGCATGGATTGCACCTTGCGCTTGTAGAATGCAGCTTCCGAATCAACGAACAATGGTGAGGGGGGCAAGATCGAAGGGGTGCTATTAGAAGCCATCGTGTATGTTCAATAGAAAAGATGGGCTTAGAGTTACTGAGAGAGTGTAGAGGTTAACAGCCGGTGAATAACCTCGAACAGTTTTACACGAACTGTACAATCGATCGCAGCGTTTAAAAAACACACAGTCTTGCAGTTTTACAGAGCAGCAGCGAGAGCTAACAGTTTGAAACGCACTGCACTTGTGCATCCGACAACAACAAAGGCATGCACACTGAGAGCACGAAACCGAAACGAAACAACAGCAAGCAAGCAGACCGCAAAGCAGATGACGCGAGAACCGTTTCTGTTGCTTGTGCACAAACGATGAACCGAAACACCGTGGTTCAAAGCGAATTTATCCAACGAAAATGTTTTTTGTGATACAATTTAAAGAGTTTATGTTTATATCACGTCGGGGTCACCAAATGTTGAGCTACTGAGCTTCTTCAGTAGCGTTGTTTTGCAAGATTATTTAAGAGACGATGATTGTTCAGTTAATATATTCACAATTTATTTTACTTAAGTTAATGTATATGTATTATCCGAAATGAGCGAAAGGTGTGCGAATTTAATGACGAGAGTTAATGATGGGTCGATTGAAGACGCGGGGGCCGGTTCAAGACTGTTGAAGTTGATATGTTTATGTTAGGGTTAGTTTAGAACTCTGTGGCAGGCAGGTCACTGTGCCAGACAGCCAAACGTTTTACTACGGTGATGATCGAATTTGAAGTGTGTTCTGCTTTTCCTGATGAGCCTCCCCCACAGCGGCTGACTAACGCCGAGAAAGAGCAACGCACCAGCAAGAGCATAAGTGCAAGCAAACAAACGGTTATAAAGAGAGACATTAGATTAAGAGATGATCAACTACTCTTTGTGCTGCCATGGGCCGGCGCTTAGCCGAACAGGGTATATTAGATTTGTGGTAAAAGTGGATGTGTGTAACGCAGAGAAGGAAACGTTTCCGACCCCATAAAGTATATATATTCTTGATCAGCATCAATAGCCGAGTCGATATAGCCATGTCTGTCTGTCCGTCTGTCCGTCTGTCTGTCTTGTTGAGCGCCTAGATCTCAGAGACTATAAGAGCTAGGGCAACCAAATTTGGTTTCCAGACTTATGTGATATCCCACTGCTACAAGTGTATTTCAAAATTTCGCCCCGCCTCCTTCCGCCCCCACAAAGGACGAAAATCTGTGGCAGGCACAATATTAAAGATACGATAAAACTAAAAACGCAGTATCGTAGAGAATGACCATATCTACCAGACTGCCGAATCTGAATCAGATCGGATCATAATTATAGCCAGAATGAAGAAATTAATTTTTAGTTGCTTCCCCTCTCCCACCCGTTCCGGACAACTCAACTCATTTTCCTTCTCGCTCGCACACGCTGCCGCGTTCAGTGCGCGAGCAACCCCTAGCGGAGGAGATGTAGAATATGAATGGAACATGTACAATCTACATGTTAGATGTAGAATAGACATTGTAGATGAGATGTAGATAGCAGATGTAGCAAAAAAATGTAAAATGTAAATTTTTTTTTTTTCTAAAATTCTTAAAAATTATAAGCTCAATAATGTATATACTGACTGAGTACGGGTATAAGTAGAGTCGTGTCCCCAGAAACGACTCACACGTTCCTTCTCGTTTTTTTGTATGTTTAAGTTAAAAGAAAATGGTCTAACTTTAACCTTTCCGTTTGTGTCGCAGCCAGATAAGCAAGTGTTTGTGCAGTGAGCAGTGAGAGCGAGAGATCAGGGAATGCGTGTTTAGAACATTTTGGTTCCGTCCCGGTATTTTTCCTCTCTCCCCTTTCTTCCTATTAAAGTTACAGCAGTACGTCGGTGAAAGCGCTTTCTTCGATGGATTCCTGATAAGGGTGAGTGTTTTTTTTGGCCACATAAGTCGGCATTTTTGTATAACGGACAAACAAGCAGAAAAGCATTTATACGCGGACTAAATTAATTATGCGCCAGCCCATTCTCTGCCATCAAAGTTTACGCGCAGCACTTCTTGCGAGCCAACGTCACATTTCAAAAAAAAAAATTCGATTAATTGCCTATTAATGCGCGCTTAAATATTTATTCATATTAGTTCGTATTTATTCATATTTATTTACTATTTGTTCGTATTTGTTCATATTTATTCATTCTTAGTCCAGTTAATACCATTGTAGCTTAAGTATAGCGGTATGTTCAATTTTTTTTTAGAATTTAGAATATATTTTTTAATGTTTTAATCTGCTTTTATTTTGCCTTAGCTAGCACTCTCCCCATGTAGGTGTCCCTAGGCGAAAGGGGCCATTCCATCTTTAATGAAGGCGGCTTGGAATGGCCAAGGTAGGGCGGGCGACACGATCTCAATAACACCAGAGATGTAGACAAAGCTCCTCGCAGCACAGACCCTAGCTTTCTTTTGTAATTCAGGGATAAGTAGTTCCTCCCGGTTTAGTTTCGTCGTAGCACGCTACTTCATTTTCGGTATGATGAGTATATGCCACCAGCATGAAGGAGGGGAAAGATCATCACCCCTAATAGCCGACGAGCAGAAGCCAGAAACCTTAAGCGTGCGCTTCCCCTCACTGACCAACACCTAGCCTGGAATAATTTATATATATTTTTGTTCGTGGCTTGGCAAATGAAACGTTACAAATCCTATGTACCATATGTATATATGTATCTGATTACATTTATCCCGTTAGAGAATAATAAAAGTTGTCTCATCTTTTGCGGCTTCTCACAGGGCGCAATGGCAATGGACTGCAGTAGGTGGCTGGATTGATAGCGGAAACTGCGAATGGCAAGCCATCGATGTATCTGTCTCTCGGCGCTGCGCTGCGGCACGCCAACCAAACAACCAACCAAACCAACCGTCAACAGCCAGCATCAGGCTTCAGCAGCAACTGTGTCACAACCGCAGCTGAAATAACAACAAAAGTTTCACAGCTGCTCATACATATATACATACATGCAGAACATACATATGTACATACTCCATAGTGCTCCAAAGTGCACAAAGTCGAATACCCTACCCACAACCTGTACAAGTGTATTTATCTCCTGGTTTGTTCACCACATAATAAACTAAATGAACAGTTGCACTCACGATGGCCGGAAAAGAAGATATACATATAGTATATCAATCCTTACATATGTACATATGTACACATGTATACTATATACTATATACTATACCATAGATTCGGGCACGACGACGACGCAAACTGCCCGATGTGCGGCGTCGAGGAGACCGCGGAGCATATACTCCTCACCTGCCCAAGGTTCGCAGAGCAGCGGTTGAACATAGGTGGAGACTCGCTTAGCGCGGGTGCCCTCACGAGCGAGATGCTTCGCAGCGAAGACTACTGGTTCCGAGTATCTGAGTACGCATCAGAGGTCATGCGGAAGCTGAGAGAGCTGGAGCGGCTGCGCAACGGCAACGAAGGAGGGGTCTAAATCGACCCGCCAGTCCCTGCGAAGCAAAGCTTCGCGGCAGTCCCGCAGGTTTCTGGCACCACCCCCCCCCTCCCCCCCCAACCCTTTTTTTTTCCACCCTTAGTTATAATCTACTGTTACCCTACTGTTACCCAATAATAAATGATATAAAAAAAAAAACACATGTATACTATATATGCGCTAAAGGGTCAGTGGCAATTCTCTAGAAGGGGATCCAGTTTTCAATGAGCGATTGGAGTGGCAGCAGCACAACTGCAACTCTGCTGACTGCCGGTCATAATGCAATTTTCAACATGACTGCATTATTAATAACAGTACCTACAATATGTAAATAATAAATTGAGTGAAAAAAAGGGAAAAACAACTACACCAAAAGAACTGCAAACGAAAATCCATAAAATAAGTACAGAAAAAAACAAAAAGAATAAAAATCGGCCTGCAACAAATGTAATCAACGACTTGCTTATGCTCTGCATTGTTAAAACTATTTGGGCATTTAAATTATCCAAATTAAAGGAAAATAAAAATATATCTGATTCCCGATATTACTTTCTAAGTGCATTAAAACCAAGCATAAAACAGTTTACAAGAAAGGTTGAAAGTTCTCCTACAAAGTCTCTCTTACATATTCAACAATCTATAAAAAATCTCAGAAATCTGCGCAGATAATCGTATTATTGTAATTTGAAGTATCTTTAAAGCAGTTTAAATATCAATGGCACAAATGCTGCTGGATATTAATTTCACTGATTAATAACAGATATACATATGCACGTACATTTATGAGTCCGAACATCAATTATAAATTATTTTCAATTGTTTAATCTTCGCTAATTATTCGTGGTGACTTTTTTTTTGCAGATTCCCTTTCCTCACTCACGGCAGCATAAATCGAAAAATGTTTTATTGAAACAGAGCAGTTGGCAAAATTGCAATTGGCAGTTGATTTTGTTCAGCCACGTGTCCGGTTCTATTTGCAGTCCGCCGCCTTCCTTTCTTATTACAAATACGGCACTGCACTGCTCTGCCTTCCTTTTTAATGAATTCTTTTTGCCTGTCACTATTTCTGTTATTATTCAAATTTTCATGCTTAATATAATTTATTTGAGCTCTGGTTTTCCACTCTCACACCATTTCCGTACGTCCTTCCGCTCGTCAGCATTGACGCCGTCATCGAGCGGCTCGTCTGCATTGAGACAGGATTCAACTGAATGCCAGCAGATAGCTGTGCCCCTTTGTTATGTCCCTCTACGCCAAGCTCCCCTCCTAGCAGTCCCTGACTGCTGTTCTTTTCAGCAATTTTGGGCAAGGCTTTCCTGGCTTGCTTGTGGCCCAGCCAGAAGCTGGTGGCTTAAACGATTGCGGCCAAGTTAGCACGCGTAATAAATGCGCATTGCATCTGGCCGCAACAGAAAACGGAAATGGATTCGGATGCGGATGTGGATTGCGAACCATTGCTGAGAAATCAAGCACAGAATAATGCAGCACAAAATAAAGAAACAAACTCTCTCTCCACAAGAGTAAAAGGATCTCTCTTCCCTCTTTGGAGGGACATGAAATACTCCAGTATTGGTTAATATGTTTCCGTAATTTATCTTCTTATATATAGAGTATTATGTGCAGAGAATAATGAGTGATCTTTGACTGATACAGTTGTGTCTTACACTGTACAGAATAAGCTGGATAACACTTGAAATCTGTTTAGTGCTAGTGCTGGTGCTTTCATCTCTGTGCATGGCATAGTGCTCGGTTCCTAGGGTATATCTGGTACTTCACGAGAGGTAACATGAAGACGGAGAAGCTGCAGCATCAATGATGTCAATGTCGCCGCAAAGATTCAGCAGTTTTTGCATGTTTGACGCTTCGCCTTGGCTAGCGGATATGGCGTCGTTAAATTGGTTCCGCAGCCGGTCGCCATTGCTGTCGCCGTCACCAAAATACTCGTATCCTCACAGACAAATACACGCACAGACATGGGCACAGGGCATGGGACAGACTGAACTAGAAACAGTGACAGTTTATCCGACACCCGAGGCAGCGCAGTCAGGGAATCTACTCTACACTTGTGTGAATTGGAACTGGCGCTTGTGTAACAAGTCCGTGCGGTGCATTTGTCCTTAATACTTGCGTGCAGTCGATTTTGAAGTGATTAACCAAACGGAAAGGAATCGATTGTGGGAGGTGGCAAGTTGTTAACAGCGGGTGTCGTCAGGTTCTAGGTATGGTGTGGATAGTGTGAGCGAGCTAACAAAGCGCTGTCAGAGAGCGTTAACAGAGAGCGTTAGCAGAGAGCTGTTCACGGGGGATTCCACAGTATGTTAGCGGAGAGCGACTACGACTTTTCGAACGAGGGGTGCTTATGAATAGTGATAATGAGAGAAGACGATGCAGATCATGGGCAAATCACATTTGATACGATCCCAACTCTGTTGTTAGCTGGAAATTTTCAACCATCCACTTCGATGCTAATCGAAAATGTGTGTTGCAGTTATCAATGCCAATTATATCTCATTAGAAAATTAGATTTAATTTCTAGGCACATGGATGGATGCATATTGTGTTTAGTCATGTGGAAATCAAATTTCCTGTTCCATCGTTGGTCCCTTGACGTTGTTGGAGTTTTCTTAAGCATGAACGGTAAGGGTCACTCACGGCCTTGCTAGTGTGTGGCGTTGTGTGTGGCGCTGTGTGTGGCGCTGTGTGTGGTGTCTGTCCAAATCCAGCACCGCCTCGAGCACGGAAGTCACCATCGAGCCCGCCTCGCTCCTGTGGCACATGCATATTTAATGATTTAACTACACACCCACACACGGGCACATAAATGCATGAAGGTGCAAACATACATATATACAAGTGTACACTTGTACGTGTGGGTTGTCTGTTTGGAAAATTCAATTAACTTTGAGTCTCGGCTTGAAGCAGGAAATAAAACCTTCAGGGCGTCAATGAGCAACCGCAATTGATTTAAATTTCAAATTTTGCAGCTTCTTCCTTTTGGGGATATCCTGCCTGCAGGAGCCTTTTATGGCACTGTATCCCGCACCGCCCCCTCACACATGGGTGTGCGTTCCAATACAAAATTTAATTTTAAGCCTAATGGCTGTCATGTGTGTCTGTGTATCCCCTTTGGTTTCTGTCTGCGCCGCGACGGCTGCACTTAATTTGCTCCTCCAGTTGGCAGTAAAAGGCGGCGGCGTCATCGACTGAAAGCAAAGCGCCTGCAGCATGCGTAATAAATTGCGCCGAGCACCAATGCCAGTACCGTGGCCACCGAGAGGGCACACCACTCTCGAAACCCTTAACGCTGACTCAAAACGTTAACCCGCTCAACCGTACCCTAAAATGATTAGACGGGGCGGGGCGGTGGCAAACGGAAAATGGTGCACTTTAAACGGTCGAATGAGTGCATCCCAGCGCAGATGAGCATACCCGAAATGAGGGCTTTTCGGGCTCAGTCCTGCCCTGCACACACACGAGAAAAAGCAAAAAAATGGAAAAAAATCAATGCAGTAGGAGAGATTCAGACAATAATGCGAACGGAAAATACCCGCTGCTCAGGATTCAACCAACATAATTAAAACGAGTACACAAAATCCGAATAAAGATAAAAACGAGAAGGAACGTGTGAGTCGCTTCTAAAGACGCGACTCTACTATACCCGTACTCAGTCAGTATTTACATTTTATGAGCATATGATTTTTTAGAATTTTAGAATAAAAAAAAAACATTTTACATTTTTTTGCTACATCGTTTATCTACATCTACATCTACAATGTATATTCCACATCTAACATGTAGATTGTACATGTTCCATTTAGATTCTACATCTCCTCTGCTAGGGGTTGCTGGTGCACTGAACGAGACAGAGTGTGCGAGCGAGAAAGGAATCAGTTGCAGGGTCGTTGCGGAGGGGGCAGGGAAGGGGAGAAGCGACTGAAAATAAATTTCTTCATTCTGGCTACAATTATGATCCGATCTGATTTAGATTCGGCAACCTGGTAAATATGGAAATTCTGCGATTTCAGTTTTATCGTGTCTTTAAAATTGTGCCTGCCACAGATTTTCGTTTCTTTGGGGGCGGAAGGGCGCTGTTTTGAATTATACTTGTAGCAGTGTTATGTCACATAAGTCTGGAAACCAAATTTGGTTTCTCTAGCTCTTATAGTCTCTGAGATTGAGGTGCTCATCGAGACGGACAGACGCACAGACAGACAGACAGAAAGACAGACGGACAAACAGACATGGCTATATCGACTCGGCTATTGGAGTCTGATCAAGAATATTATACTTTATGGGGTCGGG